TTCTGTCACCGCAATTCCATAGTAAACTTACTGTTTGTATTATCCTGTATTCTTTGTAGAATCCTTTCTTAAGAGCACAGAACAGGTGTCTTAAATGATAATTCCATTGTTGATAAACATAGCATGATTTATGAAATTCATATTCAAGGCTAAAATTGTTCCATTGATGGATTATAAAAGGGTTTCACATATATAGCCAATATATGTATATGATGAAGAGATGAAATTTTCAATTATTGCATTTATTAAGATGTCAGTGATAGACCAGGTAAATATAAATATTGCCGATGTAAATTATGAAAACTAGAAATAGGCTTAGTCAAATCTGTAACTTAACTCCCCTACATATTTCGGCTGTGTTGATTAGAACTGAGGAGAAGGTTGGAAAAATAAGTCCTCTTAACTTTTTTTTTTTACATTTACATATGTTCATCTTTTAGACTTGTTTCCACACTTATCTTCTCTTTCATTGTCATCCCAGTAGATTTGTTTCATGGTCACTCACTATTCAAGTCACAAACTTTTTCATATCTTTAGCAAAACAGTTGCTTTGTTGTTGAACACTTGGAAAATGTAAAAGGACAAATAATATGTTGGTAATTAATTGTAAGATGTATGTAAAGATTCTTATAATATGAAAATGGAGGTACAATAGCTGCTTGTATGAGGTGGGAAAGTGCTATTGAAAAGTGGAAAGTATATATGCTAGATGTCTCAGTACTTTTTCTACTACAATCTTGTATGGTTGAACGTATATTTGAGAAAATGATTATTGTAGCTGTGCCTTACACTTCTTCTTGAGAATAGGACTGTCCTATTCATATCATCAATTAAACATTTGATATTTACAGTAGCACGAGTATCTTACAGTAAAACAGCATTTGGAGAGATGATAATAACAAAGGTAAAATAATGCATGTACCAATTTTTGAGGAGTTAAAGATGTTTAGCTACTAACATGCATTTGTGTCAAAGTTGTAAAGTCCTCAGGAAAATTTTATTTTATGTTTAAAGTTGTCCGCCTATGTTTATAGTTGTGCAGAATTGTGCATGTAAATAGCAGTTGCTTTTGCTGAATACAATACACTTATTATTTATGTAGCATGTATAATTGTGTTTCCTAACCTGTAAGCATTCTTAGATGACATAGTGTGCACATGCCGTAGTTTATGTAGAATGCTGTAAATGGTTTTTGTGATTTATACTTATACTTTTTTATTTGTCTTTGAAAACAGTGACATATTAATCAGATAGTATCTTCCATGTCTTAAGAATTTTGATTTTCTTTTAAATTTCTTTTAACCTAATAAAAATTATATTCACAGGATTAGATCCATCCTTTGAATGTTATGAGAAAAATGCAAGTAGTACAGCGAAGCCTCTCATTAATAAGTGCATTAACAATGACCCACAAGAGTGCAGACTATCCTACACATCGGAGTACAAATCCTTTGCGTCAGAGGTATGTACATGGTATTGTACCTTGATAATCCAAAGGCATATTTTAGGTGTACATATAAATGAGATATACAGGTAAAAAATATTGATTTGTAGAGAGGAAAGGTAAAACAGGTAATCCTTTTTGCCAGATTAAAGTGCATTGATAACACTTTTCATGTTATATATAATATACATTTTTATTAAGATATTTCATTGATGAACGTTTTAATGTCTGGGAGTCACTCCAAATCAGAGATGAATATAGACAGTCTCCTCAAGTATCGTGGGTTGAAAGTGCACAAGTTGCTCCTGCATGAGTGGTTACAGGGCTAGCCAAGCAACAGCTGCCTAACTAGTTCCTCCCTTGCTGTGATTTATTACTATTACTATTGCTCATGAATGTTAACATGTTCTGTGATTGGCAATGATTTAGTGGCCCTTAAACTGATGATGTAATGATGAAATTTGATATACTTTTGAAGTGTTTGAGTTTGTTTTAATTAGTGTATTAAATAGTTACATATTGTGGGCTTTGCATATGAAAGAGAATGTTTAAAAAGTAAGGCCAAGAAACTTTGACTACTAATATGAATTTCCCGTTCTCAGTGGAACCTGATATGCAGTGAGAAGTACAAAGTAGCAATGGTTCAGTCAGTATGGATGGGAGGGGTCATGACCGGCGACTGGTACATTGGTAGTGTAGCTGACGTCATTGGGAGACTCAAGACCCTCCATGGTTTCCATCCTCGGAACCATTGCTTTTGAAGGTTTCAGTGCCTTTGCCCCAACGTTAATGATAATGATAATCTAACGGTATGATTCTGCTTATCTCGTTATGTGCTTGTAGTTTTGTATTCTACTTAAGTGCTCTTGTATCATTATTTGGTTGTTTATTAAGTTATGTTATATGGTTGAAATTGTCTGAATCTTTTACTTCTCTTCTAGATTTTTAGGAGGAATATGCTGTGCCCTGGTGATACTTGTGAGTTTTGTGCTTTCTCAAAATTGATTGGAACCAGTTGCGCAGCTTTGTGGGATGTGTGTAGCCATGGTCTTTGCTATAGGGATTGGCATCTATTCATGGCTGGCTTCCATCATGAGTGACTGGAGAACGCTAACTCTCGTCTGTTCATTATCGGGAATTCGTTCCTTTTGTTACCTTGGTAAGATAGACATTTGATATTTTTCTGGTGATTGTCTTTAACTTTGCTTTAAGGTTGATATTCATGCATTCAAGTTAAGTAAGAGCTTCATTGTGAAGATATATATATTATATATATATATATTATATATATATATATAATATATATATATATTATATATATATTTTACAGTATAGTTGAAAAATATGTTATAGTATATATAGATATTTTTTCTCCTTCAACCATAAAAACAGCAATTGTATAAGTATTGGAAGAAAATGTATTTCCATCAGCATTCATATTTTTTGTAGTTGTGAGATACAGTTTATAGGAAGTTGTTTATTTACCCAGATGTATTAGGGTTATGTACCATAGTTTGTGTTTCAGTATTAGGAACTTGTAGTTGGAATTATCAAAGAGTTTTCATATTTATCAGTTCTCACTCATTTCAGTTATGTTCCTGAGAGCCCACGGTGGTTGGTGACACAGGGCAAAAATGACGAAGCAAAAGTTGTTCTAGAGGATATGGCCAAGAAAAATAGAAAGAGCAAAGAACTGCCTAGTCACTGGGAGTTGAAGTCAAGCGGTGGGAAGAATAAAGAGAAGAAATCAAATGGTGTCAGGGATTTGGTCAGCCATCCGTATGTTCTACTTCTTACTTTAATCCAGATATTTTCATGGTGAGGTTCTCTTAAACTTGGGTTGGTTGACTAATGTTAGAGATAGAAAACTTAATTTATGTAATTATTGAAACAGCCTTGTTACATTTTTCTTTACTGTTGCTGATCAGTTATCTCTATATAACATTAATTTTTGCGAATAGTATGGTGTAAAAGAGTGGTTTCTTCTAGCAATCTTGCTGACCCGCAGTCAAATCCCACGCAGCAGTGGATGGTAACCCAAGCCATTGCATGCACACATGGTAATATAGAAGCAAAGTAAACAGACAGCCTGTCACAGCAAAGAATAACCATTATCATAAATGAAAGTGAATTATTATTATTTTTATGACATTTATATAGAGGCATAGTGGGAATATGATCAAGTAGTCAAATAAAGAAAAGCCAGTAGATTAATTGACCACCCCGGATCCAGGTGTTTCATGTATTCCTGGCGCTGTGACTGGTGGCGCAGATTGTATTGCGTAAAATTGAAAATTACGAAAAAAAAACGGAATATTACACAAATAACTAAATATTCTATAATTCTATAATTTACTACATAGAGAGAGGATATGTAGTCTGTGCAAGGAAAATAAGATATTATCATCTGGATAAAGCAGATTAAAAGACAAATATGGACATTGGAAAATTATGGTAAAGCTAAAAAAGTTTACACAAAATAACTTACAAAGGAGAGGCACAGTCTTGTCACTGCTCATGGGTGTTCACGCATGCCCGGACTACGTGCCGCATGCCTGGGATGATGGTCACTTAATTAACCCATTGCCCATGTTTTTGGCACCGTAATTTCCGTGATGCAACTAGATCCAGTTTATCCTCTGTGCGAAGTAGATAAATATGTTATTAGCATTGAGTTGTTCCTGTCTGATAAATTTTCATGTGGTGATGGCAGCATCTCCTGTCCCTCAGTCTAAATTTTTTCATGATGTGATGGTCATGTCATCTAGATCCAAAGGGTTAATCATAATTTATTTGTAAGGAAAATGAATTACTTCATAGTCTAACAAAAATTATTCATAATATCTTAATATTTCATCTTGTAAGTGTTATTGAAGTGCCAAAATATAATTATCAAATTTACATGAAGTTTTGAGGTAATCTGATGCCATGCCTTTCAGGTTTGTAAATAGTTGTACCTACTATGGGTTGACAATGGCTGCCAGCAACCTTGGAGGAGATGTGTACATTTCTACAGCTCTTAGTGGATTGATAGAGATTCCAGCATGTATCACAGCTGCTGCAGTTATTGATAGGTATGTGTACTTTTTGTAATATTATAGATCATAATGTAAGAAATGTAGCTGTAACAACATTGAAATATTTTCTTGTATGTTTTGTTTCTGATTTCAGAGTTGGTCGACGAATAACTTTATGTACAGCTATGCTGTTGGGAGGAACAGCCTGTGTTTTAATTCATTTATACCAGTAAAGTATGTTACAGTTATAACTGGACTTGCCCTTTGTGGCAAATTAAGCATTTCTGCAAGTTTTTCTGTTGCTTATGTGCATAGGTAAGTAAAAAGTTAAATATCTATTTTTATGTAGATAAAATTCAGTGTTATTATTAATGGTAGTTATTGACTTAGGGGTAGATATTTGTATTTTTATATTGAGATATATTTTAGTGTTATGCGTAAAACAATATTTGAAAGGAGGTCAATAATGTAATTCTTTTTCCCATTCTTCCATCAGTGCTGAAATTTTTCCCACCATTATTCGGAACTCGGCTGTTGGCATTGTTTCTGTTGCTGCAAGGGTTGGTGGCATAGTTGCTCCCTTCATCCTTATGCTGGGTGACTTCATTCCAAATATGCAATTTACCGTCTTTGGCTTAATGACATTCTTAGCGGGAGTCCTGAACCTGAAGCTGCCCGAAACATTGGGGCAACCAATGCCTGAAAACATAGCAGATGTCATAGCATTCCGTAACAATGAGGTAATTTTGGATATATTTAATAGTTCTTATTGAATGTGCATATTCTTCTTTGAGACATGAATGTGAAATCTGTCTTCAAATTTGTAGTAGCTTTTTCACATTTGCTTATAATGTTAGCACATCACCCAACCTATTCCAAATACATAAATGTTTTACACTGATTTACCCTATCATATTCTTTTAATTCATCCACAGAAGGTAGTGAAGTCAGGTAAGAAGTACCAGAAACTGAACATGGTCGATGAAGAGGTGGGGGCTGAGACTGTAAGGCCTCGCACCCCTACCAAGAAGGGGAAGTTAGAGAAGACCAAGAACCCCTTCTGGAAGAGTAACAGCTTAATGGTCTTGGATGTTTTTGACGAAATTTGCGTCACCTGTACAGATATGAAAGAAAGGTTGTTCAGAGTTTATAGAGCTTTTCACTTCTTCTTGTACTTGTTTGTTCTTCATCATTGATTATTATTATTATTATTTTTTTTCATTATGGAATTATCATTATCATCACCAATATCATCATTATCACTGTTATGTTATCACTAATTATTGTTATTATTATTGTCATGGTGACATTTGATGATGATGATGATGATGATGATGATGATGATGATGATGATGATGATGATGATGATGATGATGATGATGATGATGATGATGATGATGATGATGATGATGATGATGATGATGATGATGATGATTAGTTTTATTATTATTATCATTATTGATATCAATGCTGTAATTAATATTATTGATATTAATGTTGTTAATATTATTAATATTAATGTTGTTAATATTATTAATATTAATATTATTGATATTGATTGTAGCCGTACTATTAATGATGATATTGATATTATTACTAATGTTATTGATTATTCTATTAGTCCAATACGGCTGGGAACACGTAATGTTTGATAGATTTGTTTTATAAAGTGTTTTTACACACGGATCGTGCCACAACTGCTTAGTTACCAAGAAGTCGATTACTAAACCTGGTTACCTTGCCTGATTGGGATGAAAGTTTTTTCTAATGCTGATAATAGCAATGCGTTTATTAATGTTATTGACATTATAATTGTTATAATGTTGGGAATATTACTAATAGCAATACAAGATAAAAAAAAGAATATTTCTGAAAATGAAGGAAAAGGGCAAACAGATGAGATAGATTGTATTATTAATTGATTCCTTGTGGAGCTATCTGCTTGTACTAATTATAAAGTAAACTCATTGCCATCATCATTATTATGTTTATATTCTTTTGTACTTAAATATTTCATTCAATTAATTAATTTATTCTTTCTATAATGGGATTTATATACAGGAATATATATTTTTTATACAGAGAAAAGGAGAAAGTTGATATTGAGTAAGCATGTGTGTTCAAAATGGTGATTAACATGTTAAGCTATTTTATCCTGTTTCATATATATATATATATATATATATATAATATATAATATATATATATATATATATATATATATAATATATATATATATATATATATATGAAATACTTGTTACAAAATATTTAGAGACAACCTGCATTGCGATGTTTTATGATTTAAGTTTTGGAGTTAAAGATTTATAATTTTTTAGGGTTTGAAGATTTTATTTTTTTTGTATATTCGACAATTATGAGATGACTTTAAATTTTTAAAATAAAGTAAAATGTGAATTCAGATATGATTATTTACAGGCTAGAAAAAAATACCACTGGTGCTTTTTAATGTTTTTTTTATAATGATAATGGTCAGTGGACCTGGCCTATATCATATTTTATTTGTAATCAAATACATATAGCTCATTTTCTGTCAGTCATTTTTTAAAATGTTTAATTATTTATTTGCTAAATATTCCATTGACGATGTTGATCAGTCAGGATAGGAAGAGGATCATTCATAGGTAAAAATAAGTTTTATGTTTATCTTTTAAATTCACACCAAAACCACTCTCGCACTTAAATACATTTTGCATGTTTGAGATAATTTACCTTTCTTAATAATGCACTTGGCAGCCATCCTGATCCTTAGTATTGCTTTAGATGTGAGCTCCAATCCATATTAGTTTCTAAATGAGCAATTTCTCTAAAAACCTTTTACTCTATTTGACAGAGATAGTATTAGTGTCAGTATGGTTGGTACACTTGAGATAATCAATATTTGCATTTTTTTTATTCTCTTCTCTTTGATCTCATATGTTGCTCCCTTTAGCTGGTTACAAAGATTATTCCAAAAGTTAATACTTTTCATGTATCCTGTAATATGCGCATAGAAAACGGGTTAAATAAAGGAGGTACTGCTAGTATTCTGATACTTAAAAACTCTCCACTTTTTTTTTGTACACAATATTAATATTTGTCTCAATCAATGGGAGAATGGGTCAATCGGTACTGCCTGCTTTTAGGAGAACTGGTCTCAAAGACTAGTAATTACAGGTAGGTGGGACTGGTTTTTAGTGCAATCATTATTATTATTTTTTTTATTAGTAACTCCAGAGATGTCACTAGTTGTGGTGAAGCTGCTTCCCTTGCTGTTACTTTTTGGTATATATTGGTAAATGGAAGGTAGTTTTCAAGTATTAAAGTACTAGCACTACTTCCCACCCCTGGAACTGCCTCTTTACGCTTCCATTTGTACAATAACTTGCACTAAAGTAAAGAAAAAATCAAGAAAAATAATTCAATTACTTTTCTTGTGAATTAACTTGCTATGTAACTTAAATGCTCTCCTAGAAATAACTTCCATGACTGTGTAAAACTTGAATGTTTCTAAGACCGTCCACATCTGCTTGGTCTTTGTGGAGACCAAAACTCCTCACTTTTATGTATCTTTGGTAAAATATGACAGGGTGTTTTCTGTTACAACAGAACTACAAGAGTGTTTGATTACAATTTAAAGTTGTTGAGTCATTTTAAAAGAAAACTTTAATAAAGATAATAAAATGTTTATTAATAATTATGTTCTTTATTGCTGTAAGTCCTCACCTTTAATTTTTTTTAAGAAGGTATATACTATACCTTCCTGTAGTACAATATGACCTTAGATGTCTAGCACATTTATTTCGCTTTTAACCATTAACCATAACCATTTTGGAAGGTATGTTTCTAAGAAAAATCTTCATTACTGGTTATTATAAGCCTAAGGGGTAAGGGCGAGACAACTAAAAAGGCTGTGCATGAGTGGCACAAAGTCAGCCTTTTATCCTTTCAAGACAGCTCTCACACCTTAGGAAGTGGAAAGCAGAAGGGTTAAAAAAGAGAAAGAGAAAGAAAAAGGGAAGAGAAGAAAATGTGCAAAATTATCAGTCGAAGGCCCAGGCCCAAGGCAAGGGTGATCTTCAGCACTGGGTCCTACGACCATATCCTAGGACTTTGTCATCGCCATGGTCTTCCTGTCGATGCGACCGTTGCAAGAAACAGACAATGACAATACCGTATCCCTCGTCACCTTTCCAACATGACCGCGATTCCTCAGAATGAGAACTGCCAGCCAATGCAATTTACCTTAATACAAAAAGGAAAAACAATCAGAAATGATAGTCTGAAAATGGCAATTCTTTGTAGAAATATTCCTTTTTGCTTAGGGCTAAAACACAGTAAATATGATAAAAATCTGACTTTCCAAATTTAAAGATGTGATATGCCAAATGAGCATTTCCATGAAATTTGCATTATGCATGACTGTCAATATTGGCACTTATGAAGTAAATGACATTTGATTATCACAATAATTACAGTAAAATGGTTCTTATGTGTTGTACTTTTGAACACTTAAACTATTGATATTATAAAAAATGGTTAGAAATAATTCCATTTTCTATGATACCTTTCACCGGGAAGTCGGAGTATAAGCGATGTAAACATTGATGTTTACATTTCAGGAAGGGAGCTGCTGTCTGTATTCAGGAATATCGGGCATAAAGCTATTATAAAAGTATCAAGGAACTAATCTACTTCATAGATGTAAAAGAATACGAGATGTTCTTAATACATCATTAAGAGCTGTAAAAGAAATGTAAGAAATCGGTCACTATATTCCACCAGTAATACTAGTGTGGCACAGAAACCAATAAACTTGCCTCTCTAGTCTAGAGCTCTGTATTACAATTACCGTATTCTATTCGGTAGTGGTTAAGTTTTACTTCCAATATTGCCTTTTGATGCTATACTAAATCTTGAAACATTACCTGGAAGATAGAGAGTAATTAAGGTAGTGGTCTCAAAGAATACATATAAGTACCGTTTCATATGCAAAAAATGATTTAAAAAGTCAAGCATATCCTGATATTAACTGAAGTATGACTATGACTTCACCACTTTTGGGTTTCTTGCTAAGACTAGCCTAACTAGACTATGTAAATTTTGGCAAGATGCCTAATTGGGAAGTTTGTTGTGCAGGGCCAATTTATTTTCGCGCACTTCAATTCCCAGCCACGCCATGCAAACAGGATGGTCTTTCTTACTCTGTAGTTTAGATAGTGATGGGCTGTATATGCACAGTTGATATTTTCAGCTGCCTATACCCACCTGTGCAATTTTTTAGGACCGTAAACTCTAGCTGCGCAAATTGAACTGCATCCTACCAACTTCCCTGTGCAATATGAAAACTTTCCAGTCTGTGGAAGTTGGAGTTTGCAGACCTCCCAAGCAACATATTTATAAAGTAACAAACCAAGTAAGGTGGTGAAAGTTTGTTAGCCTTTGCTGGAGTGCTCACGTCCAGAGGCCAAAAGATTAAGGGACTTGTTTCAGGAGAAGGAGTCCTAGGATTGTGGACTTTATTAGTATGCGTTATACTT